GGACATTTCTTTGACAAATAATCATGTTAAAGGGACACTGTCTTTGTGGGGACGTTGGTTGGAAAACAACTCTTGTTTTGGGGGTTTTGGGGACATGTAGATGTTACATTTCTTTGACAAATAATCATGTTAAGGGGACATGATGTTTTGACGATCCTTCTGTGGTGATGATAAACTGATGTCTGACTTCTCACTCTATTAAATTAATTATTTCATAATGTGTGTGTGTTTTAATCAGGTGAACACACACTTTCCTGACATCACCAAACAGACGGACGAGATAGGAAGAGGTTGAAAATCATTCATTTTTTCTTAGTCCCTGATGCAGTTTCAGTCCAAACCTGGACTCTGGTCTTTGGGTGTTTTGCAGCAACAGACTGATCTGGTGTCTGTTTATTGCTGTTCTGGCCGTTAAATGTACAGAGGGTAGAACTGTATCTCTCTGTCAGTATTCCTCTGTGTGCCATAGCCCTTACTGCCTGTTGTCAGATGGAGTGGAGGCTGCTGGGAGGGCGATGCAGGTGGGGGTTAGCATTAAACAAAAATGAATCCTGGTGTGTGCAGCAGCAGCAGCCGCAGCAGCAGCAGCAGCAGCATTGAGGAGATGAGACCATAATGAGACACTGCCATGTTACCGGGCTTTATCAATGTACAGGAATCTGCTGTGTTGCACATGTTGCACCACACTCACTCACAGCACACACACACACACACGCCCCACCTTGTCCTCCCACTCCTGGCAAATCCGCTCAGGCCCGCCCCGGGAGCCAATCGGACGTGAGGATCTCTGTTGGAGGGACTATGTCAAAGTCAAAGCCTGCGAGGCAGCGCCGCATTAAAATTCATCCTGGGCTGAAGCTGCAGCCTGAATACTGATCAGACGACAGCCTCTGTCCTGCAGCACGGTGGCAGAGAAAAGAGAAGGTTTGTGTTTACAGTAAACAGCCACGCTCACTCCTTTAGGATAGAATGAAGTCGAAGAAAACAGATGACGAGCACGCACGGGCGAAAATAAAAGAGATTGAGGAAAGAGAGAACCAAGTGGAGTTCTGTTGAACACGGCTGTTGTGTCTGTGCTGCGGTGCTGGAGCTGTGATACAGTAGGAGCCAAGACGAGCACGCAGCGTCTATTTATGACGCTGCGTGGGCAGACGTGGGCATGGAACTATATGCTGGTGCTATTTTTTCCTCTGCACATCATGTGTGTGAGAAAATATTCTCTTTTTTTTATAAAGAAATAGCAGCAATTTACAGAAGTCGACTGAACGTGAACGTAGTGTTTGTTGCAGCCTAGGATTCACTTTATTGATCCGAGCCAAGTGGTAGAAACACGGCCTTCGTTTATCAGTGCCAACTCTTCATATATACTTACTTAAAATATAAAATAAAAAAAAATGCAACAGTGAGACAATAACAGCTGTTACATGTTGTTTTTAGGTGTGTCGTATCCAAAATATGGAATTATTCATATGGAAAAATGTCACGGAAAATATTTAAATGTTTCAGATTTACTTGACAGTCCCTAAGGGTTCATTTTAAGTCATTTTCCTCAACAAAATAAATGTACTGGTCAACAGTCCCTTCCCTGTCCATTTTATTACAAATTTGTGACTTTAATTTTTATAGTAGACACAATTGCACTTTTATATTATTTTTATATTAATTTTATATTAAAGCTGTCAATGATATAGTCTGACATTAATACTAATACATCCTGTTATGTAATTATGGTACTGATGTCATCAGGAGGCATGTCATTTATTAATATAATTAATCATTATAAATGTGTCTAGTATATTTTTTTTTTGTTACGCAACAGCACTTACAATAATTTAGGATTTGTACCATAATTCCGGCCCCGACCGATACAGATTCATCTCAACTGGATTTGCTTAATCCTTTGATTTAACATAAAAGCTATTTTTCCTATAAGCTAAGCCTAAGTGAAGTGCTGCTCATCTTTGTGCACTAAACTAAATAATAGCACATATACAGTATATAGTATGAGTGTACTGTATATTGTGGTATGTATATATTTTATTATTTACTATTTATACAATTAACATAATCATACAATAGAAAACACAATAACTACTTTGGGATTACAGAAGTTTTTTATTTGCTGATTTGATGGAGCGACCCCGCCCTCGCCTGTTGACTGCTGGGATCGGCTCCAGCCCTACCA